CCGCGTCTTCTGCCGCATCAAATAACATTTGAACAGGCAACTTTTACACGTAGCTAAATTTATTAAAACTTTCTGTTAATGCTTCGTAAGTTTGAACACACGATTGAAGAAGACGAATAAAAGAAAGTTATCGAAGGAAATTTAAGTCGCATAAATGAGTGACTTACAAGGGCTAGCGGCCTTGATGAAAGTCGCAGATTTGCGAATGTGGAAGAGACGAGAGAGGTGCCGCGACCGCGCCAAATGGAAGTCTCGGCGTGATATTTGCCTTCTTCTCTGATCTTCGATCAGCAATATCAATTTTTATTGCTAGTCAAAGCCTCTGATTTAGGAACGCGAGTTGTGTTGTTGATGTTTTCTGTTTAAATAGCGCAGCAAGGTGGCGCATGTCCTCAGTGATGGAGGTTATCTCTAAATTGTATTAATTGAAAAAAAAAGAGTGGCTGTTACAACTCTATAGGGCAGTCAAGTCTATAAATCCAGCTCTGGTGAGGCAGGTGTACTTTAAGAGAGTAACGGAAATTAGCTACAAAACTTATGTTCGCCACTTAAGGGGTTTCGCGAGGTATAAGTGGCCCACATCAAATTTGGCTCTCACCAGCCAGCGATTGCGCGCCTTTCAGTTGGGCTGCTTTCAGGGAGAAGCTTTTGCACACTGCGTCATTCTGCAGATATTTAACGCGCCAACGAGGGACGACTGCCGCTCCGACTGCCACCGCAGCCGCGCACTGCCCATAGGCGCCACGGGGCCATCCTCGATCATTTTGGGAATTACTGAAGTATGTCAATAAATAAAGTAAAACATAAGTACAAACTTATATATATATATATATATATATATATATATATATATATATATACACAATTATATGAGATTGAAAAAAAAGTTACATGTATTTTTGGCTCGAACATGTATTATTACTGAATAACCAAAATGTAATTTTTTAGCAGTCGCCAAAGTTATAGAAAATCAATAGGCCGTAATCCAAAGTCACATCATACGTTATTTTCACGAAGAGCTGCGGTGCGGAGGGGAGGAGAGGGTACGGGCAAGGCCAGCTGTCTTGCCGTGTCGAGTACTGCCAGTAGTAGCTACGACCGCGACCGCATAAATAACGTTGCTTAGTAACTCAACTAAAGTTGATGTCCTGCAGATCAGCTCACGGTTCCTTTTTGTGAAGCAGATTAGTGATTCGACTGGTAGCTCAGCTCAACCTTGTACCTGTATGCAGTAATAATATGCGTTTCGAGCTGCGAGTCACCAGGCAGCACGCGGCTCGTCGGCACACATAGTTATGTACTATAAATCACGATAATTCATAAACTGCCAATTTAGTTATTGAGCCGGCGCTCAACATTTAAGTCTATGTGACCCGAACTTTTGAACCGGTTCTGAGCTGATTTACACAATGCACACGCCTATTGGTTAGTCTCGCGCGGACCGCAGTCAGAGGTGGATGTCTTGCCATGTTGTCGGCGCCGTACGTTCGCGACGGTGACGTGTGCGCCAGTGCCGCGGGCGGCTAATGCGTGCGGCGGCGAGGGGCATCGGGCGATGCTGCGGTCGGCGGGCACCCGTGGTACGGTACCTCACACTCTCTCCATATTTGATTCCTGTCATCGCAAGATCCGGCTCATCGGTGGCGGACCTGTCGCCTTCCTTGGAGGACTGGTCGCGTAAGTTGCGTTACTGTTAACCAGTTCACCTTCGCAACGCAACATAACAAACGGCAGAGAAGCGGTCGCGTCGAACGTTAACGGAGTCGGTGAGTGAGCGTGATGGGGCCGGACAAACGGAGCGATGCCGCAATTTCCCTAACGGTAAAAGCAACAACGACTACGAAACGATTGTGGCAAGCGCCCACCAGTGCACGACGACGTACAATGAATGCAATTGCTCTACTTCATCTCACCTTGCCTTGTGTCTGCTTTAAATTTTTTCCTTGTAAGAAAAGGGTGGGAAGTGAAAGGGTAGTAAAATTATGCCAAGGCACGCGCACACTGTTCACATGAAACAGGGAAGTGATTCCACATCATGTGTGTCGACTGACTGTGTAGTCGTCGTGGTATTGCAGGGAGGGAGGGAGGGAGCGACATATTCCCGCAACTTATGTTATTGTTGCTGGCTGGCGTCTACCGCTGTTGATAAAATTAAAGTTATGTTATTTGCATTTTATAGTTCTTTGAATTAACAAGAACATACGCTTAGTTTTAAAGCAGTTTGTTTTTCTTTTACCAATTGCCAGTCCAGTGCTGACTGAACTAGAGTATTGAAAACACAAGTTGTATTTGCGGAAAATTTTATCTGGACCGCGATCCGAGAGAAATAGTTGGCACGACCGCCTTTCTGTATATGTGCTTTTTAACTATCAAAAATTGTTTGTGAAAAAAAAATGTATTATGCAAGGACTGCGGCGGACTCAAATTAGTGCTCCAAAGCCGGAATGCATCAAGAAATGGCAAAAAATTATCTTTATTATAAATGCGAATGTTCAGATGGATGGATGGATGTTTGTTTGAAGGTATCTCTAGAACGATTAAACAGATTTGATAAAATTTGGCTAACATATAGAACATAGTCTACAAGAACACATAAGCTACTAATTATGTTTTTTTTTTAATTCCGCGAGGATGGAGTCCAGCTATTTAAATTTTAACTAATATTCCAAAGTCTAGGACCAAGACCAAGTAAAAAAGCTAAATATCAGTATTCTTCTGCCTTTATCTGTTTCAGTGGTATTGCCGACCCCCGCCCACTTCTCATCTCGTTCCCTAATCCAATTCCCTTTCCAAGGTTTTTTTTTTAAATTCAATATTAACTACGTCGATAACTTTTAGTAGTAAAATTAAATGTAAATAATCTTTATAAAGTGTTTTGCACTGTTTCCTAGAAGTCATTGTCTCAGTTCTACAGTCCCAGTACTGTACTGGCATAATTTAAACCAAGCAAAAAAGTCTGTTTCATTGTGCGCTGGCATCCATACACGCTGAGTGGCAACATCACTCACCTCTATACATATACCACCTACATTACGTTGTATAATTAAACATAAACATCATGAACACGTCACGTGTGGCACGCGCATTACCTTGACCACTTTGATGCATTCCTTATGCGATTGTACTGTTCAAACTTTAAAGTCGCTTTTTGCTTGATAATAAGTATAACATATGATAAAAGTATTGACTGATACTCGGAGGAAATACGCGAAGCCCCCCCCCCCCCTTGTCCTCCCGCCGGCCCCTCCCCCTCACCGTACCCGCCATTCTCAGTCGTCATAGTCACGATGTGCCATGCGGTAGTGCTCGGCGTACTATTCTCGCTCCCGTCCTACTTGTACGCGGCGGTGCCGTTCAGGTGAGGCGAAGAGCCGCGGCAGCGCGGAATGTGCTCTCCTGACGTGTTTACCAACAACATCATCATCATTGTTTTTACTACGTAATGGTGTAGCAGGCGATGTAAAACGATTTTGAGTGGTCTTTTGCGGAGGAGTAGAATGCGTGTCACCGTCATAAATATTGCGCTTCGCTGGACCGTCGCTGGCGCAACGCGCACTTGTAACTGTTTTGCGGAACTAGTAAACGCCGGCACCGCCACCGCTTGCATCGACTGAGGTCACAAACTATTCGTCCGAGGTGTATTAAGCTCGCGATGAACGTGTAGTGGCGGATGCTTCCCCTCTCTCAGCCCGCCCCTTCTAGATGGCGGCGTATGTCGATATTACGAAAGCAGTGGTGACGATCTTGGCACGGCATATTAAATTTAAATTATCCCGCCGTAATTTTTTTATTTAAAATGGCTATCATAACACTGTGACGCTCATTTTATACCATCTTTCGGGATTACTGGTCAGTTCACAGAAAGCTTAGCATTGATAAAGTTAATTTCATGTTATTAAAGTGAATGGTATTTTGTATCTTCCGCCGTTCTAGAACTTTCCGATAAGGAAACGAATAAGGCTAACGAATAATGTGACGGCACGTTGGGGGCGCGGGGCGGCGCGGCGCGGCGCGACTCGGCAGTGACGCAGCTGATCACAACATGGTCCGACCGAGAGGCCGAGGTCAGGTCCGCGGTTCGCGCGTGATTCATTGTCGGGTAGGTATGTTCGATACACGATGCATTATGTATGTTACGTTCGATTTGGATTATTGTATCGATATCCATTAGTCGATCGACACACATCATGTCACACTACACGGTGGATCGGATTGAAACATTTCATGAATCTTGTGACACAATAGATTTACGGAGTATGAATTAACTTATATTAAAGTCTCTTTGGTTATACCTTAAAGGAATTACAGCCTATATTACTTAGGATAATGTAGCTTTGTAACGGTCAAAGATGTTTTTGAATAGATTTTTTCGGTATGAAAGAAATGTCGGCAACGTGCGTTGTGTGTGAAATAAAGACATTGTATTGCTTAAGTCGCTTCGCCGTCTGAACTCGCCGGGTTTCCAAGATTTACGTTGCCGTCTACGAAGTGCCTTACCCTATATTCTAGAAAGGGCGATACTCTAGAAAGGGCGATATCTTCCTGGTTTTGGTATAATTAAAAGTTTTAATATAAGAGAAGGTAATTTCCAATTGAAGCTAAAAATGTGTCACATTCATTTGTTATCTTGTTAGATTAGTTAATGTAATGAAGAAATTTCTTACTTTTTATAAGAGAAGTTGTGTAAATTAACTAGATACGGACCAAGACTATTACCAAGACCAAGACCATATACACAAAATAATTTTAGGCACCGCTGATTTGTTTCCAAAAAAAGAGAAATCGGTGCGGTACAGTAACCATAGTATGACATTGGATTTATTCTGTTAGGATGTAAAAATAAAAGCACCTAATATTTTATCGCATCCGGCTAATAAACGTCAAGTGGAATTAAACTTGTCAACTGTCGAGAAAGCCTGGCAGCTAATGTAATTATTTGATGTGACCTTGAAAAACATCGCAACATGGCAGCCTGGCTACGTAGTGTAAAGAAAGATATAATGTGACAGCCATAAGTTTATTAGTAATAATGTATTGCGCATTTCGTTAATTAATCGATCATTAAATTATTACTAGTTACCATAATACACTATTTTTTAATTTATATCAAAATTTCACTGTTTATTTTAAGGGGAATCTGCATGAAAAAGCGCACTTTAATATCATTTAAGAAGTAAATGTTAGTTCAAACAAAATGCTTTGTATTTCTCTTTTTATACTTCTTCTGTTGTATAAAAAGTTTTCCTGTTAATTGTCTTTAAAAAAACATCTAAGCATTTTTTTTATATCAGTAGATGGCAAACAAGCGAGCGGCCATCTGAAATCGCTGAAATAGCGAAGTGACCGTTGCCCATAGACATACGCAATTGCATATGCGTTGCCTACCTTTAATCGACGGAGGAGAGGATGCACGGAAAGAAAATATTTTCCCTTTCCATGCATCCCCTCATCCGGAAAGTCCACTTCCACATCCCGTCCTTTCCTTATAAGAAAGAGGGTGGGAAGGTAAAGAGGACTTTATAAAGCCTCCGGGACGCACACTCATCAGACTTAACGCGGAATTGCTTTCACTTCACGCCTGTCTTCTGTGTGGTCGTGTTATTTCACCGGGCGAGCCGGGCCAAATCGTGCGAAGATGTTAAAGCGGGCTCTACCACTGTTAAAAATCAAATCATCTCTAATACTACAAAAAAGTTAAACATGCACCCAAGCAGCCCAACAAGTTTGCAATGTCTGTGTACAGTACAGTAGCACAAGTAATTCAGAAATGTCGATGTCATTCCGATGCACGTCGCTCTGGTCGTTTATATGTAATATAAAAAAATGTCATATTTGCGCTACACATAACGAAAATACAATGTTCAACATTTGTTCTTTGTGTCTATGTCTGTCTGTCCGCAAGTCCGCGTTTGTTCCGGGTAATGTCCAAAAAGGCTGGGCCGATTTTTACTGCAAGGTAGCTGATATGTCTACCGGAGTAAATTGGCATTTTTTTAAATTCCTCACTGAACATATAAAAACAATCGGAATAAAAAATCTTCGTGATTGTCAAAAATGGTTGTTTTTTAGTTAAGTGGTTTTTATGTGGGGCAAAAAGCAACTGTTTTTTTTTAGGATTTATAGATTGATTAACTAGCTATCGCCAGCAACTCCGTCCGCGCGGTTTTACAAAAGTTCTCAGCTATGGCAAATTTGGGTGCGATCCATACAGTCGTTTTCGAAATACCTTGAAACAAACATTCATCCATCCATCTATCTCAACATTCGCATTTATAATATTTGTAGGATGACACTTAAAGCCAACCCGTTTCCCGTACCAGAACAAAGTTGTTTTTTGGACTGGAATAAGGCAGATTTTGTCGGTCGTTTACGGCGAAGGTGATCGCGTTAGTTGCAAAGCGCCCATTGTTCGTCCGTCAGCACTGTTCCAGATATGTTCCTGTTACATAATACATATTTCAGTAAATAAAAATATGCCTTTCAAAAAATGTTATTATTTATCACTTGTGATTGTCTCCGGTGAGCGGCGACAGTGGCGGTGAAGTGACCGTGCGACGCACTTGTTGCAGGAAGGCGCGGCGCAAGGAGCGCGAGGGCGAGCCGGCCGGCGATCCCAAGCTGTACCTGCAGGAGGCGCTGCTAGAGCGCAAGCTGCCCGAGCTGGACATGCGCCAGCTGGTGGAGCTACCGCGTGGCCTCGACTACAACGAGTGGCTCGCCTCCCACAGTCAGTATACACGGAACATTTCCCCCTTTAGCTTTTACAAGGATTACAAAAACGATAGATTTCCATTTTAGTTTATGCTATATTCTAATGTGTAGTATATCTGTATCTGTATGTGTATAAAAGAGATAAAAATTAACCATTCGTAAACAAACTTTTTTGTATAATAAGTGTCGTGCGGGGGGCGGGGCGGGGGGCTCATTATACGTCGATTTGACATGTCAAACTACTTCCGATGCATACGCACAATGTATCATTTTGTCTTTTGCAATTCTGTCATTGTCGCTTATTAATAGACCATTACAAGCAAATATCATGTTAAATGATATATACATCAGTCAGTTGGTCGGTGACAGATAGTGGTCAATCAGACTGCACTGGTTCTAGTCTTGGCGTCTGCGTGTTTACAGTGCACAACGAGCTTCGACGACAACGACAATTCGACAACAAGAGTAGTCACCTAACATACGTTATATCACTGTGAACTCGCATCGTTTTTAATGAGAAACAGCCGCGCCACCAGATGACGGAGCAGGTCTCACGGAGACAGGACAGGACAAGAGGCTATATACATTTCAATGACACACCCTGTTTGTACAAACCTCTACGACATTGTATTGCGTCATAGGGTTATATTCAGTCGATCCCGTCTTATAAACCATTCGTTGAAATTGATTTTTTAATATTATTCAGCCAATGTACATGTTTTTGACCGTCTATTTAGCAATAGCGTATAGAGTTAGTTATTTTAATACTTGCTCTCGACTGTTCTGGGCAGTGACAAATAGCGTAAGTGACAATTATACTAAAACAAATTCTTATGCAAAGTGCTCGTAATATTAGCTACATAAAATCTACGTATAACATCAGCAAATAGTTGAAAAGTTTTAAACAACTTATACCAAAAATTTGTAAGAAATTCAATTTGAATACGCAATTTTTTAGAATATCTCAAATGTCGCCATAAATAAGTTTTAACAACCGCGGTTTTAATTTTATTTTTGGCTTAAGGCAGAACGCCTCATCTTGTAAGTATACGTTTTCCTCGGCGTTGCGATGTCATAGGCGAGCATGTGAGTGAGAGTGAGTGTCTGTTGATGTTGAGAGCTGGCGATGTTGCAGCGCTGGCGCTGTTCGAGCACGTGAACCTGCTGTACGGCACGGTGTCGGAGTTCTGCACGGCGGCGACGTGTCCCGACATGACGGGCCCCGGCGCGCGCGCCTACGCGTGGTACGACGAGCGCGGCAAGAAGACGCGCGTCGCCGCGCCGCAGTACGTCGACTACGTCATGACCTACACACAGAAGACCGTCACCGACGAGACCGTCTTCCCCACAAAGTACGGTGAGTGCCTCCCTCTTGCATAATTTTATTTTTATACAGGTTGTGTGGAAAAGAAACAAATAGTTTGGATTTTTTTTTATTAGACTTTTAGGTATGGATTTGATTCAAAACAGATTTTTTCGAGGAAAGCCATGTGATGAAGTTATCATGGAGCCACCAGCAGCAAAACCAGTTTCATGATACAATGGTAGGATTTTGTTGTAAGCGCAGCTCGAAGCACAAATTTAATTTATAAACGGTGCTCAATAAACATTTGCTTGACAACATGAAACTCGTTTATTTACGGGCTAAGAGCCGTGCTTTAAATATAATTGTAATCAATCAAACACTGTCAGATATTATAGAAATGTCAATTATCATTAAAACAAACTGTGAAACAACTGTCCCTAGCTCCAAAACAAAGCAATTTTGTATTAACTTACCTAAGTTGGGTTAAATTGTCATAATTTTGGCCAAGGAATGTGTGGTCTTCTGTACGTCTTATCCAGACAACCGGGATGTGAGAGGAGTTGAGGGTGTCGGGTAGCGTGCAGCGGGTAGTGGGTAGTGGGTACCGGGTAGCGGGTAGCGGGGAGGTGTTACAATGCACAATTGCAGTTCGTGTGGGCGCAGCGAACGAGTTCCCGGCGCAGTTCGAGGGCGTGGTGCGGCGCGTAGTGCGCCTGCTGTTCCACGTGGTGGCGCACCTGTACGCGGCGCACTTCCGCGAGCTGGCGCTGCTGCGGCTGCACGCGCATCTGCACCTCACCTTCGCGCACCTCACCGCGCTCGACCGCCGCTTCGCGCTGCTCGACCACAAGGAGACCGAGGTACCTTGTTTCTTCCTCTTCTCGTCTCAACCGACCGCTTCATCGTACGACACTTGTAAAAATCGTGTAGCACTGTCAAATATCTCGGCGGCTCAAGGTCATCGTCCTCCCCCTCATCCCCTAACGCCTCGTCGTAGGCGAGCTATTAGGTAACCTCGATGCTACTGTATCGCGGTAACCGCTCGTTCATGAAGATGTTACGTTTGCAGGTGCTGCGCGACCTGGAGGTGGCGTTGCGCTTGTCG